TTAAAATTTGATGCTAAAAATTCAGTTAATTTTAATTAAGTTAATTAACTCGGTTACTTTTTTGACAAATTAACTTTTAACTTAATTTACTACCATATTCGCTACTTATTAAATTCTGATCATTTAACATTTTGCCAATTTTAGTAAGCTATAATTTAAAGAGTAAGAAAAAAAATAATATACTTACAAGTTGCGTTATTTATCTAAAATCACCGCCCGCAAACTGGAAAATGTTTTTTTTTCACGAAATTAGATTTTATGGTATTTTTATACTTGTATAAATTAAATATTAACATACGCTCGCAAAAAAATTATGTTGGCCTACCCTAAATATATATTCAAAGCCCTAAATCTGTATGAAATGGAAAAGACAAAGAAAATTGTCTGTCTTTTCGGATAGATTTACACAAATATTATATTAGTCATACATAGATAAGTCTTATCTTACCTCGGACTAATAATTCATTAAACCTGTCAGTCGACACGTAATTATTATGTACACGTACTTTTTTGGAGTCCCAGAAATTTTGAAATTTTTTTTTTGTAATTTTGCTAAGGCGGTTATGGTCAGAAATTTCGTTTTTGTTGATAATTTGGATCGATTCATTAAAACTCGTACTGTCGGTCCAGATTTTAAGGCAGTGGTTCTCAACCGGGGTGACATGGATCCAATGTAGGGGTGACAAGAAATCCTTGGGGAAAAGTTTAAAAATATAGAATTTTTTTTCGAAAAAAAACCGTATTATTGTAACGGTAATCATATGTGATTGCTACCACAGTCAAAAAACGCAATAATTTTTTACATTAAACGGCACAGATACCGCAAAATTCTTATCTTTGTATTATTTATTTCTATTTATAGTTGACACTATAGATCCGATAAATACGTTACGTTATCTGAGATACGGGACTTAGTCAGTTTTTCTACAGTCACTAGGCACGACTATTATATACTTTACTGATTACTGTGAATTATTATTTCAAGCTAGTATAAAATGTTTATTATTTCAGTTAAAATTGTAATTCCTCATTTTAAATTGTATTAAATACTATAAACTTTTTAAAGTATTTTTAGTATATATTTTATTATATTTAACCTTGACAGTGTTGTAGTTTTCGTTAGCGAATGCAGGTAATAATATGTCTAATGAGACATTATTATTCGTCGCATAAATGATATGTCTGTAGATATAAAACAACACACCGTAGAAAAGATGAAACTTTCATGGTTCACACTTCAAGTTAACGATTCAACTGTTAGCGACGGAAAATGCTACATGATAGGATTTGTTCGTTTTATTGTTGGTTATGATATTGTAAACCAGTTTTCTTGTCTGAAAGAGTTAAAAACAAGTACAAGAGGCAAAGACATTTTTGAAACAATCAATTTTTTTTTTGAAAATAATGGAATATCGTGGAATGACTGTGTTGGAAGTTGCACTGATGGAGCTCCAAGTATGACCGGGAATATCAAAGGGTTTGTTACCCTCGCTAAAATGAAAAACCCATTATTAATCGTTAATACTCACCGTTTCATCCACAGAGAAGCGCTGATGACAAAAACGGTGGGTAGTTATCTCAATTCTATTTTAATTAATGCTGTTCGTATTGTCAACTACATTAAAGGAAAGCCCTTGAAAAGTAGGATTTTTGCCGAAATTTGTACTTCGATGGATGCTGGTTTTACAAATTTGTTGTACCATACCGAAGTGAGGTAGTTATCAAGAGGAAAGGTCTTAACACGTCTCTATGAACTTAAAGAGGAACTTTTACTGTTTTTCATGGAAGAGGACAATGAAAAATTTACTAGTCTTATGGAAGATCACGATTGGATATCAAAATTTGAGTACTTGGCTGACATTTTTCAGCATCTTAACCTAGTGAATTCTAGTTTGCAAGGGCCATTAGAAAATGTATTAACTTCCACCGACAAACTTTCAGCTTTTCAAGAAAAAATCTCCATTTGGTGTACAAACTTGGATCAAGGGAACACAGCTATGTTTCCAATTTTTACAGGTCAAGAAAACTTTAATCCTGAAGTTCTGGGAACCATAAGAAGTCACTTGCAGGCCTTGCAAATGTCATTGAAATATTATTTTCCAGACTTGAATGTGAAACAGTATGACTGGGTTCGCAACCCATTTACTTCCTTGGTGCAAACAGATGACTGTGAATTACAACAGGAAGCAGTGGAACTAAAAAACGATCGTACGCTGCAACTAAAATTTGAAGAAGAGTCGCTCAACAGCTTTTGGGGTGAATCTCCACAGTGAATACCCTCGACTATCAACGAAAGCTATTGAAGTGTTACTTCAATTTTCGACATCCTGGCTATGTGAACATGGATTCAGCGCGGTCACGATTATTAAAACAAAAAAACGCCCAAGACTCACAAAAACAACACTAGAAGACGATATGAGNCGTCCGTTCGACGTGCGACAACGCTACGTTATCTGAAACGGGACTTAGTCAGTTTTCCTACAGTCACTACGCACGACTATTATGTACTTTACTGATTACTGTGAATTATTATTTCAAGCTAGTAAAAAGTATTTATTATTTCTTAAACGCCAAAGACTCACAAAAACAACACTAGAAGACGATATGAGACTCGCTCTTTCAACCATCAACCCTCGAATTCCACAACTATGTAGAAATCACCAGGGTCAAATTTCTCATTAATTTTTAGATTTTATAGTTTATTCAATTATTATATAATATATATTATCAAAAATCTTAATTATTTTTTATTCAATTTTAAATTTCAATATTTATTTAACAATAAAGCAAAAATAAAATTTGTAGTTATTTTTCTGCGTACTATATTTTTTATAGCGCTTGTATTTTATATAACTATTATTTTGATGTTAGGGAGAAGTAGTGTTGGGTTATCGTGGATGAGGGTGNTTACTTGACAATATACCTATCTGCTATCATTATTATTACCCGCGCGGGTACTCCTATCAGTTCCAACGCAACTTTCGATCGAAACGATTGTCATCGCGTTCTAGCAGCAATAAAATATACAAATCTCGACAAGGTAAAATCTTTTTATAACATTAATTATGGACATACGGAACTTTTTTAAGAAACCTAAATTAGACGATAGTCTTAATGGATCGTTAGATAAAACAAAAAGTCTGACTATAGAGACTAATTCCACAAGTGCAGTTGATATTACTGACTTGAGTAAAGGTGGCAGTTTTACTGAACAAGTTGAAAATATTTATGACAAGGAAGTGGCTTATTATAAAAATGATACAGGACACTATTTGGCAAATGTAAATATTGACGATTCTTTAAAGTTTGATATTTTATGTAATCCATGGGTACCACCTACTTCATAATATTATTTTAAAAATGATCTAAAATCGGAAAATGGTCGTCCATTTAGACACATGTGGCTGGAAGAGAATAATACGTGGCTATCATATTCGGCTATTGGAGGCGAAAAATGAGCTTTTTGTCGAGTATCTGTATTATTTAAGCCAAATGTTCACAGAGGTAAACAAGGAGGGTTTATAATAATACTATTTACAAAATATAAAGATTTCCATGCTTGTTGTCGATCACATCTATCTTCACAATGGCATCTTGAGTCTACAACACAAGCAAATGATTTTTTAAATGTTATGAAGGGTAACAAATTAAATATTTTAGAACAGACAAATTCAATTAATTTTGCCCCCCCCCTAGAAAAATGTCTGGGGACGTCCATGATTATATAATATATATTATCAAAAATCTTAATTATTTTTTATTCAATTTTAAATTTCAATATTTATTTAACAATAAAGCAAAAATAAAATTTGTAGTTATTTTTCTGCGTACTATATTTTTTATAGCGCTTGTATTTTATATAACTATTATTTTGATGTTAGGGAGAAGTAGTGTTGGGTTATCGTGGATGAGGGTGACACGAATCCAAAAAGGTTGAGAACCAGGGTTAAGGTAATACCGACGTATGCCTGTCCCGTTTGGGCGGCAGCCTCACCCACTAAAATTAAAAAACTCCAAATTCTCCAAAACAAATTCCTTAAGATTTGCCTAAAAGCGCATTGGTTTATGAGAAATCACCAGATACACAATGAACTGGAATATCCCTAATAAATGTCTGGATTAAAACTCATTATGAAAACTTCCACGCCAAGCCGAGACTCCGAAGGAGCTCGTCTTTAGAAACTAGGAAGAAAAACCCAAAATAGGCGACTTCGACCTCGATTACCTCAGAACACCCACCCTCCTAACGGACACTGATGAGATCTCGTCGGAAGATGAAGAATAATTAACAAAAAATACTAANCTTTAATTAGGAATCATTATAGCATTATTATCTTAAGATAAATGTAAATATTAAACCATATTTTTAATCTATTGTACTTGTAATAGCACCTAATGTGCTGAAACATTTTAAAATAATAATAAAAAAAAAAAAAAGGTAATACCGTAGTGTATCGACCGAGAGAAATAACTGGGTAATTTTGTTTGCATTTTTTTTGTTCGTAGTCTTCAGTTTACAGCGATGAAACACTTGTTTAGTTTTAGTTTAATTTAGTTTAGATTTGTTTAGTAAAATCACCTCGATAGTACTAAACGGCCATTGTAGTTACTCGACAACGGTATACAGAAAATAAAAATAAACAGTTGTATCTGACAGGTTTAAAATAAATTTAAACTAGATTTTTCTGAAACATGGTTTAAAAGCAAAACATACGTTTTACAAGATAAGTTTAATACTTAAACCTATCTAAATCATCCATATCTCGTATTACTTCCAATCCCAACGCCGCCGTCGAATACCGTGCGCAATACTTTAAGTTCCAAACCGAATCTTATGGATAGAAATAGTAACTCGAATACGGACAAAAGAAAACCGATTGTGAATACGGTCCCGGTTAAAAAACAGTCAGTAGGCGCGAAATCGACGGCTGGTGGGAGTTTAGTGAATGAAACTTCAAAAGAATCGGGTATACCCAGAAAACGCTCCGTAATAAAGAAAAGTATTTCAACGAATCGGAAAGAAAACATAAAAAAACCTGCAGATAATTTACAGATTAGGAATAAACCGAATGGTGATGAGTTACCTAATAAATTGAAAAATCCCGTATTAGTTGTGAAAAGTGNTAATGTTCTAGCCAGCCAAAAACCGACGAAAAACTCACCTGACACCTCGCCTAAACAGAAAAAACATCAGAAAAACGATACGTTCGATGGAAAGATACCATTAGCTACAGCGAACAAAGAGATGGCCAACGGAGGGACACCAACATCTGTACAAAAAAACCATACATCCGATGTACAGACTCTGACAACAACACCGAAGAATAAAACGGCTGACGGAAGCACAACTAGCGGTGCTAAAGCGTTCAATGAGAACATTTTGACGGGAACTGCGACTAAAATGACCATCAGACAGCCGAAGTTGTCGTATGTCAAAAATGAATGCATAACAGTCACAGATGGTGTTCTAAAGGAACAAGGCGTGAACGACGAGAAAACTGCCGGAAAGAATGATTGGTCCAACCACTGCGGTCCGACGTCGAAATTTCCGGATGTCCGCAAAGTTAAAACTTTAGACGATTAGACGAATTACGTATACCCGGAAAAAACTGTATGCCAAAGCAATTATGACTGCGTAATTTTGTTCGTGGTCTTCAGTTTACAGCGATGAAACACTATCGAGGTGTTTTGTAGTAAACAGCCACTGTAGTTACTCGGCAACGATATACAGAAAATAATAAAAGGCAGTTGTATCGGACAGGTTTAAAACAAGTTAAACTAGATTCTTCTGAAACTTGGTTCAAGAGCAAAACATACGTTTAACAAGATAAGTTTAATACTTAAACCTAGTTTAAAACCAAGTTTAATTAAACGACCAATCTTGTATCGATATATTCTGTTGATAATAATAAATGATGATAATACAAATCAATTTTAAGTTATAAACTATATATTTCATTATCTTTTTTTAAACATGCAGAACTACTTTATTGACAAGAGTTTTTGTCGTTGCTCCCTTCTGAAATGATTTTAATGATTTCAAGTAGGTACTGATAATTCTACATTCTATGAGTAGTGATAAATTGAGTTGTCGATATTTTTTAAAAATTCACTACTGATCCATATTTTATTCAAGTTTTTGTAATCCCCTTTGCCTTTGTTCCATGATATTATTCATATGATATTAGTATCATGGATCTGTAGGTCAACTTTCGGTACTACTAATACATTGATTAAATTTCTGCTTCAATAAAAAACGACAATTGACATTTTATTTTAGCATTTTAGATCTAGTTAATATATTAAGAAGGCTATTATTTTAATTTTTCACATAGTTTATAGTTTTCAAATAATATATTTTTCTTTTTTTCGTATTTATTTTTTCCAATTCTAATTTTCGTTTTCGATTTCGTTTTTTACGACGTTTAGGACTATCTACAGGAAAGACTAAGGGAACGCACGATTGACGACTTTCAACAGTTTTGGCGCTTTATAGACGTCACGGACGACGTCCAAAGACTTTTCCTTTAAAATGCTCACGGTGCCGTAGCACGTAAGGTTAGATAAGGTTAGGTTAGAATCCTCCTGGAGAGACCTCTGTGATCAAGTGCAGAAAGACCCGTGGGGTTTACCGTACAAGTTGATAATGGGTAAACTCATCAGACCCCCACCAATCCCTGAACTAAACGTCCCAGGGCGACTCCAGAGCATCATCAACGGGCTGTTTCCACAAAACCCCACAAGAAGCGCCAACACCCCATTGTGGACCACATCCAACGACATCCACTCTGCACACACGATTGATCGCGTCGAACTCACCATAGCAGCCAGAAGTCTTAAAGCCAACACCTCCCCGGGCCTGACGGTATCCCGAACGAGGTACTAAAAGTGATTGTGGCACTCAACCCGGACATACTCATCAACGTATACAACACCTGTCTGTGCAGTGGGGTCTTCCCAGAGATCTGGAAAAAAGCGCTACTGGTCTTATCGAGGAAAGGAGATAAACCTCTGGACGCCCCAAATTTTTATAGACCCTTATGCCTACTTGACTGTCTCGGCAAATTATTCGAAAAAATGATTGAGACTATTTCTAGACTCCAGCGAAGGACTTCATAAGAGGCAATTCGGGTTCCGAAAAGGACGTTCAACCATCGACGCCCTGGAAGTCCTGAAGAAAACGGTCAAGGACAGCAAGCAAAAGGTGGATATACTTACACTAGATATAAGAAACGCCTTTAACTCTGCCCCGTGGAACGCCATCTTGGAAGCCGTGCGGGACATGGAGGTGCCCACGTACCTTCAGCGGATAATAGACAGCTACCTTGAAAACAGAGTACTATGTTTCGAGTCAGGGGGAATCGAGGAGAGGATGCCCGTCACGTGTGGGGTACCGCAGGGCTCAGTCCTCGGGCCCACATTGTGGAACATCCTCTACGATGGCCTCCTGAGAACTCACCTGCCTCCCGGAGTGGAATACCTGGCCTTCGCGGACGACGTCGCACTCGTCGCAAAGGCCACTGACTCCATCGGCCTAGAACAAAAACTGGCCTTCTCAGCGCAGAGTCAACGAATGGCTCACGAAGACTGGTGTCTTTCACTAACTGCGCACAAGTGCGAAGCCATGGTGATTACAAATACAAGAACTCACAACGACATGACCATCACCGTTGACGGCCGCCACGTGGAATCAGCCAAATGCGTAAAATACTTGGGCATACACATTGACAGCCGCTGGCGGTTCTCCGATCACGCCCGTATTGTTGCAGCTAAAGCGGGCAAGACAGTACAGCAGCTAAGCCGTATTTTACCGAAAATCAGCGCAGCAAAGCCAACAAGGCGGAAACTCCTAAGTAACATGGCCCATTCCGTCCTTCTATACGGCTCACCGATATGGGAGGAGGACATGTGCGCCACGGGATGGTCAGCACTACAGAAGGTACAGAGGCGCATCTACCTTAGAGTGGCCTCTGCATATTGCACTACATCAACCGACGCACTCGGGGTTATCACGGGAATCGCCCCCTTGGATCTACTCAAGGAACCAAAAATGACACACGATAAAAAAAGAGACCCTGAAAGACCACCAGCAGTCGAGAACATCCTGGAGGTATGGCAGAGCAGATGGAACAGCAGTGAGAAGGGCAGTTGGACACACACCCTCATACCGAACATTATTCCCTGGATTAACCGAAGACACGGAGAAACGGATTTCCTTCCATCTCACACAAGGGCTCAGCGGACATGGTTGCTTTGCTGCAGACCTAAAACGGTTCGGAAAACTGGGAAGCTCCGAGTGCTGGTTTTGCGGCGATCCTCTGGACGACGCAGCGCACACGCTTTTTAAGTGCGATGCTTGGCATCAAAAAAGAAGACAAGCTGAGCTGGCCATCCATACAGACCTCAATCCAAAGAACCTCATCCAAACCATGCTCGTCTCGAAGGAAAACTGGGACAATATCGCGGACATGATCAGAGGGATTATGAGGAACAAAGAAGCGGAAGAAAGAAGGCAAGCCTTGCAACCCGATCCAAATATCCAAAATTAGTTACCACTTATATTGTACGCTGAAAACAAAAATAGAGGGGATAGAGCCCCCCAATCATTGTAAATCTAATTGTGCGACCGCAAATAGGGGCATTGTTCCTATGCGCGGTCTTATTTATGTGTAAATTATTCTCAAAGAAATGATGGGACATAGGGGTGAAATAACCGAAACGTTGGTACCACCCTATGTCCCGATACCTGGAAAAAAAAAAAAAAAAAAAAAAAAGGTAAGGTTAGGTTAGGTTAGGTATCGTTAGTTCGCGTGTTTCCGGGCCGGTCGTTCGACGGAGGACGCTATTAGGAGTGTCATTGCGGCAGCTAAGGAGGCGGCGAGGGGTGCGGTCCAGAACAGAGACTTATGCGCCGTGATCCCTCTTGACGTGAGGAACGCATTTAACACAGCACCGTGGAGGGAGATAGACAAGGCGTTGGAGGAGAAGAGGGTCCCGCGGTACCTGAGGGCCACTCTTCGCTCTTACCTAGACGGGAGGACCCTCCAGGTAGGCGAGGCTACCAGAGACGTGACGTGCGGAGTTCCACAAGGATCGGTGTTGGGTCCGGCCTTGTGGAACGTGTTCTATGACACTCTGCTGAGGATGGAAATGCCTTGCGGAGTCAGGCTTGTGGCATTCGCTGATGATGTAGCAGTGGTCGGAGTTGCCCATACCGGCGAGCTCATGGTGCGGACAATCAACCCAGCGCTGGACAAGGTGCTGGGTTGGATGTCCGCGAAAGGGCTGGAGCTCGCGGTACGCAAAACAGAGGCGGTGATGCTGACGAGGAAGTGGGCGTTCGACTACCCAGCGGTCACCATCGGTGGTCAGCAGGTGGCGTTTAGGAAAAATGTGTGCTATTTGGGGGTAGACCTCGACCAGAGGATGACATTTTCGGGGCACGTTGCCAAGGCGGCGAACGGGGCAGCTGGATCGGCCAGGGCGCTGGGTTCGTTGATGGCAAACACGGGCGGGCCAAGCACCGCCAAAAGGAAATTGCTGACCTCGGTGGTACACAGCAAGCTGTTGTACGGGGCGAGCGTGTGGGCTGAAGCGGCGATGTCCACGGAGAGGAACCGCGCCAGAATTGGGAGCCAGCAACGGAGGATAGCTCTAAGGATTGTGCGCGCGTATAGGACGGTGTCCGTGGATGCGGCGTTGATGCTGACGGAAATTCCCCCGGCGGATCTACTGGCCAGGGAACGCTGGCGGATATCGGAACGGTGCCGAGGCAATAGGTGCTAGATTCTGAAGAGGTCAGCGGTGGCGGAGGAAAGAGCGAGAACAATCGCTGAGTGGTGCGAGCGTTGGCGGGGCACCAGCAGGGCAGCATGGACCAGGCAGGTACTGCCAAACCCGGAGCGCTGGCTGAGCAGAAGATTCCGTGTCCCCATAACATTCCAAGCGACCGAGGCGCTCACGGGACACGGTTGCTTCCAAGCCTATTTGTACATGAGAAACAGGGCGGCCAGCCCGCGCTGCCTGCTGTGCAACGACGAGCAGGACTCAGCGGAGCACACGCTGCTCCATTGCCCCCACTGGGATCGAGAGAGGGCAGACGTGGTCCGGTTTGTCGGTGGCAGGTCCCTCAGGGTAGAGGACATGTCTGAGATCCTGTGTGGACCGGAGCCTGGCGTCCTCCAGGATAACCCTCAGGCATCTCGGATCATGGATGCTGCGATGAGGGCCGCCGAGAGCCTGTTTAAAATGATGAACACAATCATGTCGGCGAAAGAGGAGCTGGAGAGGCGGAGGCAGGCCGAGGAGCGAGCCGCAAGGCGGTAGCAGATTGCAAAACCACTTCGGCGACACGCAGGGGCGGAACCCTAGAAAAAGAAAAAGGATGGCGTCGACCTGTACGCGAAAGCAAGAGCGGCGGTCTTCGACGGCTCGTGAAGATGGCATGGCGGAATTTATTAAATATTATTGATTGTTGTAATTGTTATTGATTGTTGTAATTTTTATTGACTGTTGTAATTGTTAATTTTGTTTGATGCGAAATAAACGATGTTAGCTAGGGGAGAAGTAATGCTCACGCAGTTCCTCCCCTAGTTAGCGATACCACATTAAAAAAAAAAAAAAAAAGTTCGCGTGTGACTGCCGTAGAGTAAACACGTGCCTGTGCGTCGCTCCCGCGGAGTTTATTTTTTGTCGAAGTTTTAGTGAACCGATCCGTGAAAGTGAGGAACTAAAATTTTCGGTCAAGCTCTGTGCGTCGTTCAAGACATCGCGCGCGGAAATCGTCCTACCAGGAACAAAGATATCGCGATACCTATATCCCGGTGAGTGACGATATTTCGTTCCGCCCGGCGACAAACGTTTTCTATTTTTTGGCTATCGAACTGCTCGAAAGATGACTCAAAAGTTACGGACGAGTCCAATAAACCCCGCTCAACAAGCCCCGGGCCGATCGGTCAACTTCCGGCCGAGATATCTCGATTTTAGTACGCCGAACTCGCGCCACCGTGACGTCATAAAAAAAAGAACATTCTCGAATTTCTCTCATTCTTTCTAGAAAATTGCAGAATGTTCTAGAA